TTATAGAAAAATAATAAGTGAACGAGCCAGGAACTGAACAACCATCTTTCCCAGTAAACCACCCATAAAGGGCAGCCCCTGGTGGCAGCCCCTGGAAATGCAGGCATAGTATTTAGGAGGCCGGCTCTGGGTGCCACCTATCATCATCACCCTCGTTGACTCACCGTCGAGTGTGTTATCAATGGTCTCAAGCCCTTTATCAAGAACAGGTTTCAGGTTGCTCACAACATTATTCAGGTCGTTGCCAAGATTCCCAAGAAGAGACCCAGAGGTCCCAGTGAGCAGGCCACACAAAAGAACAAGTTTCCAAAGCTGAAACATCTTGTCCTGACGTCTGGACATTCATGGAAGGAACAAGATTGAAAATTACCCAGAGGTAAAAGGAATCGTCAATGAGCACCTACCACTCTTACACTTAACATTCCTTTAAGATAGATGTGGTTATCTCCTATTTTACAGATGGGCAGTCCAAGTAAGAAAGCGAGACCAGTTTGCCCAGAGACACACAGCCAGTGAGTGGAGGAGCTGCGATTTGAAAAGTCACATTTGACTACAAGCCCATGCCCTTTACACAAAGGTCCTTTCCACATGCTGGCTTCTTTGCCTGGAACATCTGTCTTCTTCTTTGCCTTTTTTACCTAAGATACTTCTTATTGACTCTCCAACTTTAGTAAGACATCACATCCTCTATGGAGCCCATTCTAGGCCCCTCCTCAAAGTCAAGGGTAGGGGGGCTCCATCCCACCACTTTTCTGCTTTTGTTCTCTGATCAGAGTCCTGGGTACCAATTATCTGATAACCTGTCTACCTTTACCACTAGGCTGTGAACTCCTTAGAGGAGGAACTGTGAGTTATTTCACTGTTGAATCCCCAGCCCCCAGTAAAAAGCCTGCACCTGGTACAGTATAACAAATCAATATTTGAATATCTGAATAAAAGTATGGACAAATAAACGGGCACCATGTCATGGCCCATCAGTTTGACACGTCTCTGAATATAATCTATATCTATCTCTTAATTTTCTGTTCAAAATATTAGCAATCCAAGTAGCCCCATTTCTCTGCCTCTTGCCCTCAAAGCCTTCGGAAGACCACCTTGTAAGGTATTGTCAGGGGGAAGCCCACCACTCACAGGTTTGGAGGAGGATGCTCACGAATCCTTGTTCCTCTGCACGGTCTCCTAGGGTTCTTCTCGGTGGTGGTGGCCCTTATATTGGTGGCCACAGGATGGGAGGATGCCCATGGAAACAAGCCCTGGTTCTGGGGACATCCAAGGAGACGCCAAAGAAAATAACTCTTGTTCAGGATGAGCAGAAAGATTTCCAATCCAAAGGTCACCTAGGATGCTTGAATTGGAATGGATGGATATGGGGAGGACTTTCTGCCAAGACGAAGACCAGGTTTCCATGAGCCTCCAGCTGTCAAGATGGTGGCCATTGTGGGTGAGGGTTGGGGTGAAGACTAAGAGTGGGCTAATTAGAAAATTGTTGGTGAGAACCTATAGTGATCACCCATCCTAATTCTGTCATCATTTGGAAACTGAGGCTCAGAGAGAGGAAGCAAGAGGTCACTCAGCAAGACATGGACAGAGATGAGACCAAAACTGTGACCCACAGAGAGTCAAGGTCAGCAACCAGAAAGGTCATTCTGCTTAATTTTCCTCTGGTGTCGGAATGCTTTCTACAACATCTGTCATAGTGGAGCCAGCCTCTGTTTGAATATTTGCAATGATGGGGAGCTCACTATCCCTTAAGAATGCCTATTCTATCTAGCTGATAGAGTTCCTCCTGAGAGTTAACAAAACCTGCCTCCACTTTACCTCCCTGTGTGGGCAGCAGTGAGGCCCAGAAAGGTTAAGCACCTTGCCTAAGGCTGCACAGCCAGTGTCAGGAGACACACACCACAGCCTTATCCCTGGCGTCCCTCTACACACTTGCCCCATCCACTCTACTCAATGCAGCAGCCAGAGGTGTGTCATTCAGCTTAAACCCAAAGTCCTACCATGCCCCACAGGATCCCATGTCATCTGCTCACTGCCTCTCCAAACTCGTCTCCTACTTCTCCCTCCAAGCCCCAACCTGTCTTCCTTCTATTCTAGAAGATTCTGACCTCTTTCCTGCTTTGGGCCTTTGCATAAGTCATTCTCTCTGCCCAAGACTCTCCTCCCCAACTCTCCCCAGCTCTTGTTGTCACCTCTTCAGAACACCCCTGACTGCCTACCTGAGGGGGCCCCTTCCCATTATCCCTGACCTCAGCTCTTTGATGGCTTCTTTCACAGCAAATCAACACAATTTGATTTTTTAAAAACTTGTTCTCTGCCTTCAGCAAATTGTTACCACTCTGTGCTCTGAGGCTTTCCCCATATGTAGGTTTCAAAGGCTCTGACCTGTCTCTAGAATGTTCCGAACCTCTCTCTGGGGCATCCTAGAAAGCCAGTCACTACTTGGGAAGGTGGTGAGGTCCCCATCACTAGAAATGCTCATAAATTGTACTGGATAACTGCTAAGCTCCTGTGGGACTTGATGTGACTATGAGCTGTGATTCTAGGTTTTCTTGGTCTGTTGTTCACAGACCACGGTGGCACATTTTTATGGTTCTCCTCCTCAGGTTTTCTTTCTACCTGAGTCCAGCTGCCCCACATGGATCTCTTTCCCTCAGGTTTCCTGTCTCTTGTCTTTTCTCACCTTCCCCACCTCCCAAGACCCCAACTTCGACCTGCCATGGGCCCCTGGAACCACAGAGGCTCGTGTTGGGTGCTATCTCTCTGCATGGACCACATCCAGGACAAAGCCAGCATCTACCACTGGCATTGGCCGCCGGCCTTAACACTGCCGAGCTCTGAGGTGACACCAATTAGAAGTTTTCGTGTCCTGGGCGCGGATCTGGGAAAGAGGAACCTATCCTCTCACATGCAGCTCAAAAGTCCTGCTATCTAAGTCACCATTCTCAGGGTCACCCACCTCTCTGCAGCTTCACTGCCCCCAGCTCACATGAAGACAAGACTTTGCCATACCCTCAAGGGCTCCTATCTGCTAAAGCATTTGGGTGACCTCCAAGTCTGGTCTACACTAGGCTAAATCTCCCAAAGTGGGGAGAAACCATGCCCTCTTCTTCCTGAGATCTTCTGAATCCTACTCCTGATAGTGTGTGTGGAATTCTTGAACAGGCACATACATACTTACATGTATGTATATGCGCATGTCCACACACATGTGTGCCCATGCATGCAGATGACCAAGGCAGCAAAGCTAGACTCATAGACAACATCTCACTGCCTACAAAGAGGAGAACTTTTTACAATATCATGAAGATCATGTTACCACTGTTCTGAATGAAAGGGCTCCCTATCCCCAAAGGCAGATTTGGGTCTCCCCAGATTGCCTGAGTCTGTTTTCTTCCTTAAATACTTTAGATACAATTTTCTAGCAAAGCCCACTGGACAATGAAGCAAATACTAAGGAAATGAGAAAATGTACCATTTGAGT